CTAGAGTACATAAAGCAGATGTGCTTTGTGTGGGTCCTCATGACACATCAAGTCCGCGCAAGAGCAAACTGAGGAAAGTGCACTCACTCTGTACCAGATAAACATGGTCTTGAAAGCATTCTCATTGGAGCAGGAACCACAGGCCATGGTTTGTACTCGCGTCATCCCGCTGGGGGCAATCTGATTTTGAAGAAAGTGTCATTTACAGCACTCCACACTACAATAAATAGCAAGCCACTTCAGGCCAATGTGGAAAAGAGTGCATTTATTTATGATATCTGCAAAGCATGTTATCAAGATTCCGAGAATCACAATGAGCTGTTTTATAACTACTGAACACAAGCTGTTCTTCAAGTGAAAGGTTGTAGTTGCCTCATTATTGGGGCAGATCCAGACAATCTGTAATCCTTGTGCAAAACGTAGTCCTTACTCTGTACTTGTGAAGCGTTTCAGCAAAATCAGCAATAACTCACAGAGACATATGCTGTAATCAGCTTTCCTGGATGTTTTGAAATATGAACAGATTGATTTTTCAAGAGATGCTTTACTTGTGATTTTTGCAATTCAACAACACTCACCGATAGCAGGCTCTCGATCAGTTTGTCTGGAAAGTTCTCAGGTGGCAGAATACCAAGTGCCGGCCGGTTGACAAATGCACTCTGTGAAAACAAAGATTCACACAAAAAGGATTCACTAAAGGAAACAGTGTCCCTAAGAATTTAATTATTTCGTAAAAATGTTTTAAGTGCCCAAGAAAAGTATTTCTTTCCTATATTTATCCATTTTCTTTGAAACAGGAAGTTTAGGTCAAACATGCATGTCTTTCTTTATAAAAGCCAACAGGCTTCAGTAATGTCACAGAGATGAACATGATTGGCTACTTGCTACTTTACTCGTCAGTTACAGGTGGTATAAGGGGGCAGGACATTCTCATTCTGGAAAGTTTTTAATTCAATAAAAATCTGTGTAGCGAAGGATGAGCAATCAATATTTTTGGTCTGTTTTCCATTTGAAAAAGACTACTAATATTAAGTG